ATGGGAAGTCATATAGTGATTTTTTTTTTTTTTTGGCATGGAGGTCTGACGCAGAAAAGAAAATGGATGACGAGGAAATGGAGTGTTATTTCTTTCAGCAATGTTATGGATAAAAATTAAAGAAGAGCAGCTAAGAGAAGAGCTTTTAAATAATGACTTCATCCATCTTTGATGTTCCTTAAACGTTAACCTTTTATGACAGCCATAGAGGGCAAACACGATGTCAGAATGTGTAGATATTCAATCCACTGCTCTGCTGTATAAAATACCTGATGGACAAATCTCTGCATACAGAGAGACGGCTACTGGTCCAATATACAGGAGGAGAATGAAGTCATAGCCTGAGAGAAATAAGACTGTTGATACATCAATACAATTGTGAATGCAAAATAATTACAAATAAATACTCTAATATCACCACATTTTCATTTTGTGCAATTCCATACATCTGAATCTTCATCTGTTTCTAGGAGAACTCCAAGCACAATATGTACAGATTTGGTGTTTTGAGGAGCGGAGAGAATCTCTCCCATGATTCCCCGCCAGCCTCGACGTCATGTCTTGTTATTGTTATTGTTTTGATTGAGAGCCCCCTGGTGGCAGAATTTAGATACTGTGCGTTTAAAACACAGTATTAAGAACATATTTAAGTAAAAATAAGACGTTAAAACACAAAATATATGAAATCTAAGCATGACAACATTTGAACATTCTGCCCTAACGTGCAAAATACTGGGATGAGAAAATGTAAACAAGTTGAGTTAGTACACGCATTGTGATTTACCAAACCTGGCAAGAATTGCGGTGATTGTGACGGTGTCTGAATTTAACACCTTTGAAAAGAAGGTGCTAACCCAGGAGACCAGTGTTACACACAACAGACTGCTGTTATTGAAGTTAGGAGGAGACATAGGCACAATATAAGAAGGCATAAAGATCGCGTTTTTCCCCACAAGTGTTTACATGTTTCAAATGACATTTTAATTTAATTCAATATTCTAATTGTTAAGGAAGAGAAACACCATGATTAAACTACAGGCTATTGTTGCCATATATCCGAACAAAACTGAACATTCACAGCCTCTGCATTCTATAGAATTTCAACATTGATATTTATGGCGTCCTATTTCCCTCTTTTTGCTAACATTATATTTTAAACTGGGGATTTCCTTTTTCTCGGGTCTACAGCCCGCTGCTGCTACGCTGTAGGATGCTTGAATTGGGGGACCTCACCACTGCTTGTACCCCCGTCTTCGATATCTCTTTCCAGGGCATTTTATGTCCGATCAGACACAGCACTGACCAGCTGCTGTCTGGTGCGCAACAACGGCCCGAGTGTAGAGCGCGCCATGCCACGGAGGACACAGCTCGCACAATGTATGACACTTCATTCTTAAGACTAAGGGAAGAAAGAGAGGCCCTGTTTAATGCCAAATTTAATATTTTCTTATAACCCAAATTTTCTTTGTAATATTCAGATTTATCTCCTATAACTACAAAGTATTGTGCGTTTATTTGCCTCTCCCACTAATACCTATTTTGGCGCTTGCAGTCGTCCTGCTTTCTGTCCAAACTATCCGTGATGTAAACCCACAATTTAGTACTCTTTAATTGGGAGCTTAGTAAATCTGGCCCTTAGTGTCTGGGTTGCCTTAAAATGTTAAGTTACCTGAACTTAAAAAAGATAAGTTGAGATAATTTGTGATTATTCCAAAGAAATAAAATGTTCTATAGTCAAATAAACTTGACATCAAGTCAGTTGTACTTAAATCTTTAAGTTCACAAAACTTTTGAACACAACTCAGTTCCTGTGAAATTATCTCGTTCTAGTTGAAGCAAAATGCTCTTTCAATTTCTTTTGACTTGAAATCCAAAGTTAAAATACTTAATCCATCTAAAATATTGAGTCAAATAAATTAATCAATTTAAATTGAATATATATATTTATATTTTAGTCAACTTAAATCAGTTCAGCGTATACATTTTTAATGATTCTCTTTGCTTTTGTGGAAACTTTCAACTTCCTTTCAAACACAAATAAAAAAAAAAAAAAAGGTATAATCTCTACAGGTTATTCGTTTTATCATAGAAACCAACCAACTTTAGTTCTTCAACCTTTGATAGCAGGTCAGATCAAAAGCACATCTAAACATTTACACATGTTTTTACCACTTGTTTGTAAAAACATTTCCACCCAAGAATGTGCAAAAAAAATCAGTTGTCCTTCTTTTGCTACATTTATCATTTATCGGTCACTTTTCTCAGTATTTTCAGATGCAATAAACGTATAAATCAGGTAATTTACACATTTAATGAGGTGATCTTACTGTGGTAACACAAACATTTCAGAAAAGATCTGTGAGACAATGTCCAAATATTTCTTGGAAGCTTTCAGAAAACTCTTTTTCTCAGTCCATGGACGCTTGAAGGGGGCAGTGGTCACCACCGATATTCAATAGGTTCTTCTGTATGACTTAAAATGTATACTGTACTTCCTTTTGGTAGGCAATGTTAATTGCATACAGCAGACCCATGAGCATAGCCACCAATAGTCATGCTGCTTGATCTGATGTTCCAGGACGACCTCATCTTCTATCACCAGGAGGATGCTGACGTTCATATGCTTTGTTATGCCGTCCTCAGTGTCTGTAGATTTACTAAAGACAGAAAAAATAGATATAGCTGTAAATTGTTTGTAATACTCTCTGAGAACATTTTTAGCAGACAGATCCCCCATAATCCTTCACTCTGTGAGTGAACTGAGCACAGACATAAAATATGGCAGCGCCCAGTAAGACCTCAGGGTTTCTCTCGTCCTGCAACCCTAGCCCTGTGGTAACACTTAGGGGAGTTTACAGTCAGCTGAATCAGCACATTGAAAACTTGACATAACATTGTGACAAAGTGTGTGAGAAGCTCTTCTCTTAATCACCACTTGTCACTTAAGTCTTTATTTAATATCAAATCACATCATTAATTACAGTTGTGTATTTAAGTTTAATTTATTTTTGCTTGTGTAACATTGCAGCACTTACTACTATCCCGGGTTTGTTTGTGTTAGCAATAAGTTACAGTTCACATCAAAACATAAATTAACTTAAAGCGATCAATCATTTTTATTTAGTTTCTGGAACTGCGAAGTATCTTTGATTGTCTTATCCATACTTAACTCTGTTTGTTCTTGTGTTCAGTTTCCCATGTGGTTCCATGCAGCTAAAAGGGGATAGCCCAGCACTTCCTGGGTATTTATCAGATTGATGATGTCATCGCTGACATCACTGGGCAGACCATTTTGAAGGGGTTTTATTTCTGAGAAATGTTTTCTTTCTAAAAATTTCTTTCATGTTTGAGTTACTGGTAGAATGTAATTTAATTATTTAAAGTTAATTTAGTTGAGTAAATGATCTGAGGTTAATTTAAGGGTTTATGTAGATTTCTTTGCTTTAAGACAAAAGTGTAAACCTACTACTTGAGTTGTGTTGCACCCAGCTGCGGCCATTTTGTTAATGGGGCCATCTATAAAGCCAGGAGACGTGTGCTCTCGCATGAGGAGAGGTGAGGACGTGTTGCCTTTAACATGTTTCTTAGTCTGATTTAATCATGAAGTAAGTTGCCTTATTTACATTGAACTTTTGTTGTTTTGTTAAGTTAACACATGTTGGTTTAATCACTGTAAAATACTCACCTCTTGGAGAATCTTCATCTGCTGAGTTGCCTTTCTACAACCTTCCTTGACAGTTGTGCGAACTACTTCACAAACATTGAGATTGACATTTCTTTCCATGTATCTAGTGATGTGGAAAATTCCAAGCTTTGTGTTGAGTTTTATGTTCTCATTCACATAAATATACATGATGTAATGTATAGTTTGACTTACAGTGTTCATATGTATATGTTTTATGCAACGTTTATTTTGTATGCACTTGAAGAACAGTGTTCATGTTGAGCTCTTATTTTGTTATTCATGATGTGACTTCCTGTTGTGATGCGTTATTTTTTTTTTTGGTGATCTACATTACATTAAGAAGAGAGAGCGGGAGATTGGTTGTTGTGTTCCATGGCTGCTGATAAAAATGCTATTCCAGTTAGCTGTGAAGAAGGAATGAATAAAAGGTGACGTGACACTAAAGTGTGATTCTTGGTAACATGGCTGACGAAGCAGCCGACCCACCAGTTGAAGCAGTCAACCCAACACTTTGGTCTGCAGGGACTCAAACTTTTTCTGACAAAGTCCAATCAATCAATATGAACACTAGTGTAACAATTTGTAAGTGTGGAGCTGCTGCTTTTTTTTTTTTTTTTTCCCCAGATGCAGGCAGATCCAGTCTCTCCTCCTCCAGTGGTTCAAACTGGAGTATTGTTGTTGCTGATAAAATGGTTATCCTGTTTTGATCAGAGTTATCAAACTGTCCTGCTACTTCTGGTCATCTCAGTAAGTTCCTCTCATCTCTGACTCACTGTTTGCTATCTGTCAGGGGCCTGTATCAGAAAGAAGGTTCAACAAATTCTATGTTTTGAAACCTCTACTATACTGAGTACGTCCTGATTTATCTGGCAAAATATTCAGTAAATCATCAGACCAGTCTTCGCTGACTGTTTCCCACAATGCAAAGCACCAGGTCAAAGATTGACAAGACGGACAGCTATGGTACCAGAGAAAATAAACATACGGTTTCAAGAGGGGTAAGCCTCCCATGTGGGAGGGCCAGCCACCTAGCAGGCCCACAAAACCCTCTAGCAAAAAGCTAATTTGTTATTTACATGGACTTGAAGGCCATACTAAACCCATCTGGGCTAAGATGACACAAATGTGCTAAAAATGACTTTTATATTAAAATGCAAAACATTGAAGTTAATGGAACCATTCTTGGGGCCTTGCTTGAATCTGGCAGTGATTAGACACTGGTACACAGGAAGATTGTACCACCCAACATTGTCATCAGCAGTGACACCATCCTTATCTGTTGTGTTCATGAGATGAGAAGCCTTATCCAACAGGTGACATCTATATTAAGGTATAAAGGTCAAACTTACCTTTTGAACATTGGGGTTGCTGATAATCTGCCTTTTGATGCTGTTCTAGAAAGAGACCGACCAGTTCTTTTTGATTTGTTGGAGCCATAACAAAGCAGGCAGTGTAACGCTGTGGTAAACAGAATGCAGGCCATGCAATCAAATGAGCTCCTTTTCAATGAGGAGTTGGCGACCACACCTGGGAAGTCTCGGAAAACCCACAGACAGAGAAGGCACAAGAAATTCCAAAAGACAGTGACGACACCACCAACCAGCACTGAGCTAGAGTTGCCACTAGGGTTTCAAGTTCCAGGTAATATAAGTGATATGCAGAAAACTGAGCCGTCTTTGGTCTCTCTTTTCCAGAAAGCGAAGGAGGAGGAGTCAGAAGCTGAGTTAGACATCATAAGTGATGAGAATATCCTGCAAAATGGCATCCTCTATTGTCAACAACAATCAACGTTGCAGCTCGTGGTTCCCCAAGCAGATAGAAATGCCATACTTGCCTTGGGGCACTCAGTTCCCTGGGCTGGCCACCTGGGCCCACAAAACCACAGCTCGCATTAAAAAACCATTTCCACTGGCCTGGCCTGCACAGACATGTTGCTCAGGTTTGTGAAAGTTGCCCTCAGTGCCAAATAACATCTGCTAAAACACACCCCAGAGCTCCACTTCAAACACTACCCATTATTGTGTTAGGAATCAGTAAGGTTCTTCTTCATCCGTATCTGTCTGTTTTGTTGCGTACTTTGGACTGGTTTTCATGGGGAGAACAGAGACTGGGGTTTAAGCTGTTTACTGGTTTGTCCGATAGTCTTGAACACACCTTTCCTGAGGTGCGCTCAGAGCTGTGCCCTGTTGCTTTAAATGACGTAATACGACAGGTGAAGTGGCAGCTGATGGAGGACCCGTATGGACGCCAACTTCGACACTGTCGGACCTAACAGATGACCCACTCCCATGAACTTGTTTTAGAAACCAGCTGGCTAGCTTGTAACAATTGGCACCCCATTTGAGTGCCTTGGGATGGACATTTTTGGTCCTGTAGAGAGAACCATAGCAGGGAACCATTATATGCTGGTTATAACAGACTATGCCACCCAGTATCCAGAAGTCTTTCCACTAAAATCCATAAAGGCAAAAGTAGTTGATCTCTGTTTGGTACAATACTTTTGAAGGGTGGGTGGACCTGATGCTTTCCCTGGGGATCATTGAGTGGTGTAACCCAGTGATGCACATGCCAAAGAAGGATGGAAGAATAAGGTTCTGCGTTGATTTCAGGTACCTTGTGAACATTTATTATCATCTTATTAACATTTAGTGACAAGTGTGAAAGCCTTTTGTCTTGTTTATTGCTACATTGTTGTTTTTCTTTTGGGGTTTTATTGAGACTTTATTTTTGTGTATTATTGGGATTTTTACATTGTGTGAAGCACTTTTTGGCGTTGGTGTTAAGTGCTTTGTAAACAAACTATGATTTCTAATGGGTAAAAGAGAGAATGAGGAATAGAAACAGTTGTTCAAAGGCCTGTTGGAAGAGATTGTGTAATGATTGTTGTTGTCTTTTCTTCTGTGTAAGGATACCCTGAGTCTTTGGGACCTTCACTATCTGGTCATGATTCACTGTTGGCCCGTTCTGGTCGCTCATGACTTTGAACTCACCACAGAGTGCTGCTCTGCCTCCATGGTGGCGTATGTATTAGTGTTTTTAAACATACTACAGCTGTGACTTGTACAGAGAAATGGGACTCAAATAATGAAATATCTGTTTCACAGCCAAGACAAAAGCTGCATGAAGATGATTACACTGACCAAACAAGACTACTGTCAGGTATTTTTACAAATGCTTTTAAAGAACTGTGATATGTGATTTTCACGAGGCTGTCCTGAACTCAACATCAAGCTTTTATGATTTTTCAGATCAACTCACTGTAAATACGATTTCTGCCCTCGATGACTGTTTGTTACTCTCTGGATGTGTCGTCAGTCTCCTGTCTCGTCCAGACAAAAATAAACAAGGTAAACATCAACACTTATTACAGTGGTAAGTGGATCTTGCATGAATGAAGATTTCTGCACATTTAAGTAACATATTTTACTCCTTCAGATTTCGCACACCAAGACGCCACAGTGCCAACATGCTCTTCTTCAGTTGACTCGAAACATCACTTCAAATGGGAGCTTCTTGTTTTGTTTTTACTACATTCCTGTTTAATAACTGCTCAAGAATGTGATTCGAGTTTCAATATACTAAGCCATCTTTTTTTTTTGTCTATTGTTTGTTATGTTTTGAGAGCCTTTTATTTTTTTCTGTCGTCGAATGCTTCACAGAGGGTTTGCTTGAGAACTTTATTTGGATGCATTTCCATGTTTTTTCCATTTTCTAAAATGTGTATTGTTATTTTGACTTGGTTGACTTTTCTTTGATTCCCAGACTTGGCAGACTTCTTCACAAACACATGTTTGATGAGGCTGAGAAGTTTGCCTACCCTGACCTGTTTTAATTGTGTTCTTTTTAAGGAAGATAATTATGATTCCAAAGGGGTGGAGAATCTGAAGTCCCTGGTTTCCCACCACCGTCAGCTCCTGGACCTGCGCAAGAAAGAGGACTGCAGACTTTCACGTTCAGTCTTTAAGGTGTGTCTTCTGTGGAAAAACCCATTTTACAATATACAAGTGTGTAAGAGATGTTACAGGTGAACTCATGATAAGATACGATATTCATATCTATTTCTAACCGTAAAGTACTGATGGTGTAATGTTTAACCTTATAAAGCAAATGGACTGTAAAAAAAGGTTCAGGTGACATTTGTCCCCAATTAACTTTGTTAACTCTGGACACCTTGGTTGCCAAAATGTACACACAAAATCTGCAATAAAATGATCAATATTTGCTTTTGTATTTTGCTGTTTTTGAGCTTCTTGTTGTGCAGATCTTGTTTTTACTTTCATTGCCTGCTCAAAAACTAATCAAGAATGTGCTTCAGAGGCTTTGCCCGAGAACAGGTACTTAACTTTATTTGGATGCATTTCTGTGTTTCCTCAATTTTGTAAAATATTTCTATTAATATTTTGTGTTCAAACTATATTAAAAAATGCCCATTGTTTCACAAAGGCTCATCTTCTCTCTCCAGATGCACTCATAAAACATTTAACCGGTTTCCACCGGTGGCGCTGCTCTGTAGTGACCCCGGCTGCCTCGTGCTAAGAACCCAAAGTATTTATATACTATATTATCGTTTGATGTGAAGAATGATGTTGATGGTTTTTTATGACTGCAGCACAGGTGAAGAGCCAAAGACAAATTTCTCACTTTGTGAGACAATAAAGTTAATTTTAATCTTGATCTTAAAACCATCCCCTGTGACCACTTCTGCTCCCTGCACTGTGATATTGTTTGTTCTGTTAAACTACTTAATTTTTTTTTTAAGCATTTTATTCATGTTTGTTTAGAAGTATTTTTAAAATAAAGAAATTCTGTTAAATGTAGAAAATGATGCCAGTTTTCATTAATTCTATGATTATTGTCTTTGGTGGTTAAACTGTACAAGGAGCAACCGCTGAAATCTGCATGAATAAAAAAAATTGCAATAAATTCTGACTATAGCGATGTGATTGTTGCAAATCCTTTCATTGGGATAACAATGTCATGGAAGCAGCCCTACAGCCTACCCTGACCTTTATTTTAATTTTGTTCTTTTTAAGGAGGATTATGATTCCAAAGACGTGGAGAATCTCAAGTCCCCGGAAGAAATACAACTGCAGACTTTCACTTTAAGTCTTTGAGAAGGTGTGTCTTTCATGAAAAACCCATTTTATGATATACAAGTGTACGATGAGGATGAGGGCCATGTTAAGTTATTATTGTTTTCAAAATTTCGAGATTAAACTTGTAAATTCCCTATAATAGAGTTGTAAATTTACAAGAAGAAAACAAAATGTTAGTTTACAAGTTTTACTTTAAGACAGAAATAATGCTTTGTGGTGTATCCATGAATTAAACGGAATGTGAATATTTTTCCTTTTAGGCTGTAATCATTCTAATTGAACTGACTTTGACAGGGAAGTGTACGGAGTGTGGAGTTCTTCATGCTGATCGCACGCCACAGTGGAGAGCAGTATCCTGACTTGTGATGAGCTTCTTCTAGAGTATATCAAGGTAAGACAACACCACCAACCCTTGTGCCCTCCTCAAATGTTTTTATATTTTTCTGCTGTGTTAGTTAAAGATAAAGAACTTTTGACTTGCTCAAAACATTCAATTATTTTCAGGATTGTAACCCTTTAAAATGCAAGGTTATTATTAGTTGAATGGTGATTAGAGTCTTTGATATGTCAAAGACTAGCAACACCTTATGGACACCTTCATGGCCAAAATGTACACAAAATCAGCAATAAAATGATAAATATTTGCTTTTGTGGTTTTCTGCACTTTCATGGCTTTTGACGGTAGGAAAGAGGGAAAAGGCTAAAGTCAGATAAATAATAATAAAAAATAACAGTTGCGCCTTCTGTTGCACTTACAATAGATGTATGGACCACCTGTCTCTGTGAGCAAGGTGGGTTCGACAGAGCTCGCCATTTTTAAGTTAATACGAGTCACTTTTCAAAGTTGGAAACCTTTCATGTAGTTGAGGTGACATAAACATATAGTATTGAGTTAACACAACATTTTCGTGGACTTGAAGTAAAACTAACTACAGGTCTCAGATCAGCCAGCTAAGAAGGCTGGGAGTCTCACCTGATTGGTTGGAAAGTTCACTCTCACTGTCAATCAAACGCATCCAAAGTGTTCAGTGGTAAAAAAAACAACACAATGTTGGCTGTTGATCAAGGCTGGATCCGCTAGCCACTAAGCTAGTGTAACCGGTTGTGTTTCTCTGCTGGACTATGGAGGGTGTGTGTCTGCCTCACATGTTTATGGTGCAGGAAGAACGCCACAACAGCCGGAGTTGCTCTCACTCTGGATCTCTTTTTTATTCTGGTGTATAATACAAAAGCACACAATCAGCATTGATATGCAACTGCAAGGACTCACATCTTCAGCTCAGGAGAGATTCCTTTGCTTCTTTTTAAGAGTATTTTTACATAACGTCCAGAAATTATATCAATTAAATACATTTTTAGCACAAGTGATCGTATAGTGGAATTTTACTTTGTCTTTAAGTACCAAATAAGAGCATTTTCAATTTTTATCTGTATATAAACATACCAAAATCATTTTAACACATAACCATCAATGAAGTGCATTTTATAGCTTTTTACAATTAACACAAACAACATGAATTTACAGTTCACATTTTATGTAAAACTAATTTAACCATGCCTACTAGGTGTATAATACAAAAGCACACAATCAGCATTGATATGCAACTGCAAGGACTCACATCTGTATAACACAAAAACACGCACACAAGAGCATTAACGTGAGCATCACGGCCACGAGGAAGTATGTATTTAAATGAGTAAGGAATAGTTTCATGAAAGTTTTTTTCCTCTTTTGTCAATTTCACTCTCTTGTGGAGTCTCTCACACAGAACTTCAGTGTTTCATAGTACAGTTATTACAGTAAAGTGTCCTATGTTGTCTAATCAATAAAAAGCTGAACAGCAAATTGATAAAGAAAATCTTTAACTTTTTTTGTAGTACAACAGAGCTAATGGAACATTGTGGATAAAAACAGATGTTATTTTAATACTTGGTGTTAAATGTTAAGTGCTTAAATTGAGATGAAGCCTGTGTTGATGCTGATGTGCATGTTTATCTTTATAGGGGTGGTGTGACCTGTCTGTAGGTCAGATTTTGGTAAAAGAGCATCCACCATAGAACTGTGAGCAGCTAACTGGATAGTGAGCCCAACCTTCGAGACCTCGAGTGGGATTAAGAAGACTGTTTCTAAGGAAGAACTTCCTTCGCTACTTAGAGCAGAAGCACAGATGAAACAGAAACACACACCTGGATTGAGCCCCAATGAAAAAGACTGGGCTTACACACTTCAAATGTTTGTTTTATTTCATGTGCACACTTTATTAAATTAGTTGTTAATTGCATTAGTAAATTGTATATTGTAATCTTGTCCTGCAATATTTGTGTTCCTTACATACAAATGTATTCCTGTGTGCGTCTCTTGACTGGTGTTCAGACCTTGGGCTCCAGGAGTCCTAGTCTTCTGATGTTTGTCCACCTTCAACACTTTATTTACAGTAACATGGGTTAACATAACGTAATATGGTAGCTATGACACACCAAATGTTATAATCTTGTTAACCGTTAACGTTAAAGATAACTTATCTTTTTAGTGGCTTTTTCTTTTCAAACTGTTTGAGTGGAAGTTCAATAGACCTCCGTTCTGTGTCTGCGTTTACTTGAACGTTAGACCCTGTTCCCACTGAGCTGTTAAGTGCATAATAAAGTTTTTAGTAACCTTAATATGCAATATAGGCATCAATATGAACCTAATGAAGTCGTATTAATGTCAATAAACATCTTATGAAACTAATTTATAGCTTAATTAACACACTGATGGTATATAAAGTGTCAGTACATTTCTAATAAGAGCCTATAAGTGTCTTATAAGACATAATAAATGTGTTAATTATGCCTATATTAACACTTATCTAGTCTTATTTGTTTTAATAAGAATCTAATAAGGTCTTATAAGTGACTTATTACCTGTTATTAATGCTTATTACAAGCACCTTAATATAAAGTGTTAAGTGCTTATGATGTGAACGTGTGGGGTGGGCAAACGTTCATGTTTTATACCAAAAATCAAATAAAAAGTGTTATATTCTAGTAGTTATTCAGTTTAGGAGAATGCAAATGAATAATTTAATAAAACACATGATCTTATCAGCATCCATCCTAGACTCGCCATTATTAAACACAACCATTATCATCCTCTTGAAGGTCATAGGTGTTCATGAAGAGCTGAGTCTTTAACTTTTTCTTAAAGGTGCAAAGGGACTCGTTCCACCACCGGGGGAAGACAGAGGAGAAGAGTCTAGCTAGAGACTTCGGACCCTGTTGTGAAGTTTGGATCAGCAGCACACACAGCAACAGTACGGCAGCGGTCTTTGACTCAACATCCAGTGTTTCCATGGCAACGATAAACATGTCTGTCATGGTGGCTGCCGTGACAAGAGTAAAGTCCCCTTTACAACTATAAAATGTTCAACCTTAGTTGAGGTATTTGAATTTTGGACGATGGATTTCCTCGTTTAGCAAGATTTTGGTGGTCTGCAGGAAAACTGCAAAAAAAATCACAAATCGACTCAGTCTGCAGCTGAATGAGAATGCTTCTGACACACACAAAAAAAACGCATTTAGAGATCTATGGGTGTTTAAAATGATCTATTTACCAACTTTAACCTAAACCTGAAGTACTTCTAGTTATCCAAACTTTCCATTATCAACGGACATTTAAAATATATAGATAATTATTCCTCTTTTCTTGGTGCTTTCACTGAATCAAGATTCATAAGTTTAAGCTTCAAGAGAAATACAGTCAAATATCAGACGCTCAACACCATTGGACCATTTTAAGTCTGTTAGAGAGATGGACTTTTGAGTTTCTTAAATCACAAAGCTGTTTGAAGTTTTTGTTTTCCACGGATGAATGCGGCGCCGTGCTAGCCTTCAAACTGAAGATTTTCTTCAACAGTTTTTTTTGCAGTTTCATTGGGGAACAAAGGTACACTGTGTCAGCAAACAAAACCAGCATGATGCGAGTTCAAACACAGAAACATTCTGTCATTTATTATTCATCCTGATATTGAACCTAAACTTCTCCATGGGCCTGTTGCAGACATTTTTAAAAAGAACAGCTCATGACTGCGTTTACTTTGGGGACAACCTTCTCACTGAAACTTTTTATCCATTCACATTTTATTTCATTTTTTACAGAGTCAGCATTTTTGAGTTCATCCTCTGAACACAGAAATAAACGCTTTGTTCCTTGTTGTCTTGAATGCCAGCAATGTCAATTAGCTCCTTTTTTTTTTTGTACAGATGGTTCGACGGTCCGTCCAACGACTCGACTTTGTAACTCAGTTGCAAACAGATAAGTTCAGACGGTCGGATCGACAGGTCTGCTGAAAGACGGATTGAAGGCCATAAAGAGGGTGAACTGGCAGCTAGGTGAGCTGCGATACCAGCTGTCAGCCACAAGAACAAGAAGAAGGGACTCGGCTAACGGCTGGCACAGAAAGAAAAACTCCACTGAACAGATCCGTCTTCAGAGGAAAAAAAAAACTAACCTATCAAACCGCGTGAGTTGATGAAGTACTCCCAGCAGAAAAGTTTAGTCATTAAGTCACAAAGAACTGGGAGAGTTATTCATGTTTTTTTTTTTTCTTTAAAGCTTAGTCAAGGAATCCCTCTCACTTAGCTAATTGCTAATTTATTTACACACCTTCTGTGCTGTTCATGTCTCGTGCATTACAAAGCTGTTCGGAGGAGCTTTGAACTTCCTGTCATTGGGAGAATCTCGATTATGTAAGTGAACATTTCATTAAGTTATTTACAGTTTAGCAGTTTGAATTAGAGGTCGCTAAAGAAAACATTTTCACACACACAGAGGAGATTCTTGTAAAAGTAGAAGTACTGACGTGTGCGAGCATGTCTCTATGAAGCACTAAAACCTGTATTTCTATTTTAGCACTTTGATGCTTCCCACTCTGCTGGTACTGCAGGTCGTTGTCAAGAATTAAAGCGCCCCCTGGCTGGCTCGCCGGTAGAGCAGCGGACGCTGGATTTTCATTATGCTCATGATTTCAGGAGGCTTTTAAGTTTGGGTAGAGAAATGTGAAAGTAGGAGGAATTTACAGATTCTGTGATGTATGTTCATAACTCTATACACAAACTGTCCTCAGAGGAACATTTGGTCCCTGTAACTGTTTGAAGATAAAATAATACCCAAGATGTTATGGTGGAGGGTAGATGGTAGATCTTTAGCTCCAAACAGTGTTCAGGGACACAGTTTTTTCCTATGAATACATTTTGTATATTTAGTTCCGAAAGTATAGCATAGAATTGTTTCACTTCTCCAACTTTCAAATTTCAGCCCTAAATCTTTATAGTGCACCTTTAAGATAAGGCAGGCGTTTCAGGATGATTAAAACCCGACAAACAGACTGAAAAACTGTTTCGACCAGAGAGCTGTAAACTGAATTTAACACTGCAAAACAATGATTGTGTAATCTGTATCTGTACCCCAGCAGAATGTGAGTGAAAGTGAAAGTGCAATGTGTTTTTAGAATCTCTTATTTTTATTTTATTTATAACGCTTTATGAAGGTTTCTTTGCACTGACCTAATTTTGTTGTACATGTACAAAGACAAATACATATATTCTATTCTATTCTACAAAAGCCCACACTGCAATATTTTCTCAAAGAGTGTGTTTACCTGGACTTCAGTAGCTATCCCGGGTCATGAGCCTCAGCCCCGGTTTTGATCATATTCAGGATGTGGTGTTTACATGCACACAGAGAAAACTTGTTATTTTCTGTATTATCCCTGTATACATGATAAATGTTGCTTTCCTGGTTTCTGAGGACTACATCCTTTTTTTTTTTACAGGCGTCTGTGTTTTAAACAACTTGGGGTTAAGTGTCATGCCCAAGGACACATCAGCGATGTGGCTACAGGAACTGGACCCCCGACCTTCTGCTTGAGAGACGAGCAACTCTACCACTGATCCACAGCAGCCCACTTCCTTTCCGATTAAAAGGTAGCAAAATCGGGATACTTAAAAAAAAGCTGGATACCCAAGTCCCTGTGAATGCAATCAATGTGAGATCACTTTTGTCAATTTATTGTCTTATACAGAGTTTTACCTACTATGCACGTGTAAAAAAAAAGTTGTAATTCAATAACAAGACCTCATTAAAGCCGTTCCATTGTTAAAACCATTCTCTTTTTGTAACATCCCGCCATGTCAGCTCTTGAGATCCTGTTAGCAAATCTGCATAGTCAGTCATCCGTCTCCATGGCGGCTCCAGGAGCTTAGATACAGCTGCATTATTTGTGATTGAATGTTCGAGGCTCCTGCAAAACTGGGATTTGAGGCCATTCAGTGTTGGCTTTTTCATTTAGCTGAACAGACTGTCAGACATGCAGGATTAAAAGCAAATCCATGCATGCACTTTGGAACTAACAGTCAGACTTCTAACAAGCAGGGAGGCAGTGCCCAGTTAGATGTCATGTGCACTGTGCTGCTGCAGCTCCGGGGGGAAAATCGAAAAGGCTTCATAGCAAAGAATAGTGTGGAACATCTCCCGGTTTGTTGTCCTGATCCCGGCCTGTCTGTGGGAGGATGAATGCTCGGGAGAAACTAAGAACCTGCTGTGCGTTCCGTCTTCTTTTAGAAAAATTCAATACTGAAGGAATAAAAGAGGCATTTTATGTGTGTGCAGCAGGTAAAGTGTACTCCGCTTTCAAGTCTGATTCAAGGTAAAGCTAACATGAGGATTTTCAAACTTTACTTTCTGTTATACCTGTGTTTCCTGAGCTGCAAAAACCATGATCTCTTACTTTTATGAAGTCTAGGGTTGTGATGATACCGGCTCTTTAAACATGAATAATATTTGATTTGAACTAGAAGTATATCAAACAGTGAAGGGTCTTGGGTATCCAATATTGTTCAATTTCTTATTTTAATTACAAGAAAGAGCATGCACACTTCTCTCAGGTCTGCCCCTCTCCCCCTCCTGCAGGACTAACCATCGGTCCTGGGAGGACAGGGCCTTCTCCAGTACTGCTCCCACCCTCAGACTAGTGTTGTAGCACTCGAGTTTGGTCTCATGACCGGTCTCCAGACCACTTGTTAAAGTTCTCGGTCTTGTCTTTGAACTGAAAACATTTTGACTCGGTCATGCCTAGATCTCAGACTGGGAGGACTCCAGGTTTTAAAACAGGACCGGTGAAGACCACCATTGATTTGTTATTTCTACTTTTCCAAGACATGACTGTGATTAGCAGGAAATCTTGAACAAACAATATCTTCAATTATTTTGTAGTTTGATTTTTCCCCCACCGCAACCTTCCCGGTGTTACAGTCTAAGTGAGTGATACGCCTGACTTGGTCTTGGAGCTCTCTGGTCTCAGGTATGTCTTGGTCCCTCTCTCTCGGTTAGTGTGGTCTTGACTACCACACTATCTGAAACTAACTCCCAAACCCCCCCCCCCCCCTCTCCACCTTAAAGAAATCCCTAAAAGCTCACCTCTTCAACCACTAACAAACTTAGATCTATGAATAGTCAGAAAGGCGTTCTATCAGTCTAATGTATTTATTATTATTTTTTATTTAGCAAACTGTCTAAATTGCACAAATACATTGGCAACCTTTTGGTACTGAAGCATTCCAAATGGGTTTTTACA